GCTTGGTGGACGAGGCAGAGGAAGAATATACTGCAAAATCCCCATTCCCTCCCCACCCCACTAACCTGCTTTCCAGCTCCGTTCTCCTCTGCAGGGCAACCAAAGGAGACCCAGCCGATCAGCTGGGACTCAATGGGAAGCAGAGAATAGATGGGGCCAGTCCGAGGGGGCATTTGCCGGTTCTCCGAACTACTCAACATTTCTGCTACCGGTTCTTGAGAACCGGTCCGAACCGGCTGAATATGCCACCTCTGGAAATAAGCAAGGAGAGAGCCGACCTGGAACGAACGAACAATTACATCAGAGGAATAGTTGTCCTCCAAAAGTCGTGGTTGCTCCATCGATGGAGGTTTTTAAGAAGAGGTTGCACAGCCACCTATCGGAAATGGTACAGGGCAGGGGCAGAGGTGGTATTCAGCGGGTTCTGATCAGCCCTGGAGAACCAGTAGGAGAAATTTTGAGTAGGTCGCTGGCAGAACGCTCGTGCCATTGCAGGCGCCACCCGCAACACAAGTGATGTCATGCTGGCCATGTCAAACACAACCATGATGAAATTGAGTTTGACACCCCTGGTACAGGGGTTGGACTAGAAGACCTCATCACTGCTTCAGCCCTGGAGGTTTTGAAGAAGAGACTGGACAGCCGTTGGTTCAGAATGGTATATGGTCTTCTGGTTGAGCAAGGGGTTGCATAGAACAGTGGTCGCCAACCAGTGGGCCGGGGAGCACTGGTGGTCCGTGAGAAAATTTTGGTGGTTTGCAGAGAAATATCTAACCCCTCCCAAAGCAATTAATCCAGGCTGTGCGGAAACACAAGGCTGCACCGCCCACATGGCCTGCAGGAACACAAGGCTTGAGTCGCTTGCATTGTGAACAACACGAGGTAGTGAGGGGAGGGGGGGAAAGGGCGGAGGGGGGGAACTTGCCCCACTCACCCCAGACGCCTCGCCTGGACACCGGGCTGCTTCTTTCCATTTCTTTCTTCTTCTGCTTTTGGCTGCATGCAAGGAAAGCAGCAAAAGTCTTTCTTTCTCTCCTCCAAACTCCGCCAGAAATGAGTCTTTGGGACCCTGCAAGGCCTCCTGCTCCAAGAGGCTGCGCCAGCAAAGACTCCTTTCTGGCGGAGTTTGGGGGAGAGAAAGAAAGACTTCTGCTGCTCCTGCTGCTTTCCTTGCATGGAGCCAAAAGTCTCTCCCTCTCTCTCTCTTCCCCTGAGAACGGAGCTGGAGACGGTATCCTGCGATCCCAAATCAAGAACGATCGATCGGTAGGAAAACAGGGTGGGGAATTTCCCTGCAGGCTTTTGGGGGGCTTTTCTGGTCCGCGGGATTTAAAATGATGAGTTTGGTGGTCCCTAAGGTTCAAACGTTTGGTGACGCCTGGACTAGATGACCTCCACGGTACCTTCCAACACTGTTATTCTCCATTCTCGCCAGCCTTATATTAGAAAGCAAGCAAGATGACCTTGATGGAAATAGACCAGCTTTCTTAGCAAAGTAACGAGGGGAAAACCATGGTTTGAGCCCAAAATGACAAAGTGGGCATGTATCAGCCTTGCCGGAGTAACCATATAGGAAACATTGCCAAGATGAGTTCATTCTGCTTAACTCCTTTAATTTCTCTCTTGCTTTTAAACATATATACAAGAGACCCATAAGGGTTTATGTATATATATGCCTTTTCTTTCTTGTTAAAAATAAAAATAAAATCAGCCTACAGGATTCACATCAGCCAAAATACCATGAGGATCCTTCACAATCTCAAAGAAGGTTACAAAATCAACTTCAGAGGGAAGACAGAACTGAAGGTAAGAAGGTTCGCGGGGTGCCCTGGAATGAAGGTACAGATTCCCCTGTCCAGTCGTGTCCTTAACTTTCAACTGTTCCATTTAGTGACGGTTACACTAAAGGTTACCCCCCAAAGTTACAACGGCACTGCAAAAAGTGACTCGCAGCCGTTTTCTTTCCACTTATGACAACTGCAACATTCCCCGTGGGCGTGTGAACAAAATTCAGACACTTGGTTCATATCCAGGGGTGGGCTGCTGGGGGCCCTAGATAAGACCCTGTGTGGCTCGGAGAGCCCCCCCATAACCTCAGAAGGACAACAGCCAGGGAAAGATCTTAATAGGTTTAATTGAACTTCTGGGCATTCAGCCAAGAGAATTTCACACCTGGTAAAAGTCTGGCAAGCTAGATAAACAATCCACTCAGGGAGCGCCATTGTGAAAATCGGATAACATAGCCGTTAGCCTCCGAGGGGATTAGTTCCCAAATAATAAGAATCATGTAACTCACCAAAAACTCCTCTAAGACTCCCAAGATCCCTCTCACGGTCACTGCTAGTAAGCCTGGTTTCACCCAGTCTTTATAAAACAACTTTTGGGTGTGTTTACCTTGTGCCGTGAGATTTAGATTAGATTAGATTTAGGAAATCGTTGGATTTCTTGCTTTCTAGCTAATCTAAAAGCAGAACCGAAGCTTCCTTAGGACTGAAGCTTCTATTTTTCAGTGCAGGCTCAGCTAGCAGATTGCAGAAAGATAGATCTCTCAGTGAATCTGTGATTCTGTAAGCAACTCCATCTGCCTGCCTGCTTTGCCTGATTTTGGGTAAAAGTTGCTTTTTTTAAATAAAAAATTCAATATTTACAAAAAATATTTATAATATTTACATACAAGCCACCCCCAGCCAGTCATATGACCACCAAGCCACACCCGCAAACTAGGCCACGCCCACAGAACCGGTTGTTAAGAAATTTGAATCCCACCCCTGGATGGATGTATTACATTTCTATAACTACCCATCTCAGCAAAGGACTCTGGGTAGCTCACAATGCAAAAACATACGTTGCAATCGAATCCTTAAAACCATTTCAAAATAGTAACATCCCAGTTGTTCTGGGATTGCACCCAAGGCTCCTCTCAGCATCAGTACCAACTTTGCTTTCTTGTATCACTTTATGAGCCTTATTATTATTATTGACGTGAGCTGCATAATGAAATTCAGGGAGGGAAAAGCCCTTTCTTGCTTCCCAAAAATGATCTAGTGGATCATTAATTGCAGGAGGGGGAAGATCAGACTTCACTGGGCCAAGCCTTTTGACCCCGAGTCTGAATTCAGTTGCATAGCAGCAGCGATCCATTTCCTAGTTCCATCAATGATCGGATTCTTATTAATTGCATTGGGCTGTTGTTTGCTTTTATTGTTGTTTTTCCTTTTCTTTTGAGTGGTGAAGGATTATTATTATTATTATTATTGTGTTTTTTTTAATGGACTTATAAAACATAAGTATTTGATTTTTTGGGGGGGGAAAAGAAATATTAATAAAATGCTACTATTCTTTTTAAAAAGACCCATTCTATGGGATTCACACACCCCTTTTTTTAAACAGGGCAAAGGTTTGCAAGACACCTACTGGTTAGTAGGCAAAAAGGGGTTCACGAAAACCCTCCCTCAACCTCCAGAAATAAAAGCCGGGTAAATATTATTATGGTTGGTCACACAATCAATGAGATGTTTAGACTGGATTTGGGATTTCGGTCTGTCTATCGCGTTCTTCCCAAGGATCTGGGACAGGCAGTTGTTGTTTGAAATTGTTTAAAGGTATCATTGCAAGCAAAAGAAGGAAGGAAAGAAGGTAAATAGATGCTAGAGGAGGAGAAGAGGGAGGGAAGGAGAGAAGAAGAAAAGTGGAAGAGAAGAGAAGGAAGAAAAGGGGGAAGGGGAAGAAAAGACGAGGAAGGGAAAGAAGGAAGGGAAAGGGGAAAGAAGGAAGGAAGGAAGAAAGGAAGGAAGGAAGAAGAGTGGAAAAGAGAGGGGAGGGGAGAAAAGAAGGAAAGGGAAAAGGAAAGAAAAAAGG